AATAAAAATTGCTGCCCTAATAGCACACCAAAATAACAAAAAAGTTCATCAGATGTGTTAAAGGTAAAAAGGGATTCGTTACTTTTTAGATAATTGGAGTTAATTAATAATCACCTACCGATGGAAGAATAGGAAGGGGGGATCAAATCAAATAGCTGATGTACAAAATAACAGATAACATAAACTATTTGGATGGGATTATTGTTCCAACAATTTAATAATTGCAAAAGTGAAAAAAAATAAAGTGAATGGTACAAAAAGTAAAATTATATGACACGAGTGTGTTTCTTGTAGTAATTGTCCCACTCACTCCCCAGATTCTGACGTGCTTATGAAATCAGTAGAAATTTTGTGCTGATCACACCAGAAAAACCAAATCAATGGTCCTACAAGTTCTTATTAGGAAAATATTATCTTGTTACCCTACCACTCAAATTATATAGCAAATAGCATACGCCAGATCCAGATTTTGGTGATCTCATTCTTTTTTATTATTTATTTTTTTGGTGGAAAGTTGATCTTCAAAGGCATTTCAATTTGCAACCAATTACTTTTGATGAGCTGATGTTTAATGGGGTTGTTTTGTTTTTTTTTTTTAATTATGATGGCTTCTATATGAGTCGAGATTCACATGCCTTATTTCTCAATTGTCTATACACACAAAGACACAATATTTTTCCGTCCTAAAATTATCGTTGACACAAAATTCGTTGTTTCCCTCGTCAGAATCAATTGGATAACTATTGACGGATTTCCGAATCAATGGAAATCTCAATTGTCCGGTGACTTTTGTTAGCATATATTACATGCGCCGGATGATTGTGATCAACTGATCATATCATGTGAATTCCAAATGGGAAAAAGAAAGAAAGAGACTGGAAACAGACGTACTATCTAATGTGTGTGTGTGTATGTGTTTCTTTGATAAGATTAATGAATCATCTCAATCGTCCGATGCTTTTAGCCAACAATAACGGACGGTTTTAGAATTAGGGATCCCAGAATTCATACTAATCTGCTGATTTAATTAAATCAGGAAGATAACAACATTATCACTACTTGTACGAATTTAAAGAACTTTTTAGACAGACACATCACCAAAGATTCCCCCGGATTGATTAAAAATATTTTCTGTTGTCTTTAAAATTATTTGCTGGTTTCTTTTGCAGCTTTTTTTTTTTTTGTCAGACAGCCTTTGAATTTGAATTTACAACAACTTTCGTACGTTGTTGGTGTTTGACTTCTACTTGCTACATTTTCTGTTAGTATTCCACATAAGGACTGAGGGAATAATTTATTTTAGAGCAATGAAACTAATTACTATTAGTGTATGAAATGCAGTACTAGTAGCACTCCTAATTTCGAGAGAAATTAATTGGGGAAATTACATCACTCTTTCTCTGATGTAATAATGCAAAGTGTATGACCGTACATCGCTTATCTAACCTTATCCCAATTTTCCATGCCAACTTTTCCTTCCTTTCCTCAACTTCCTATTGGTTGCAAATTTTGATTTAATTAGATAGAAGGTCACATCATGTGATGTGAAGACCCCATAATAATTCATTTAAAGGTGAAAAAAAAACCCATAATTCATTCCAGTCATCCGAATTAATGGTGTAAATAAATTGGTATTTTCGTTACCAAAACAAATCAATCTTACATTAAAATATTTTATTCCCAGTATTCTATCGCTTTATTAAAAACTCCTCTAATATTATCACACCATATTGATTTTTTTTTTTTTTGGTGCATAATTCAAGAAGAAAAGAATTTATTTGAATCCATGTATATGAAGAAGAAGGTTTAGTAAACACTTTCAACTTACATGTGTGGAAACAAAAAAAACGAAGTGAACTCTACTCGGCACATCACATGAATGGTTGTCATGTGATACGACAAACCCCTACAATAATAGTGTAGTAGTATATCAGTACGTACATTCATTATTCTCACATGTGAAGGACATCATTTCCGTATAACCTAATACGGAAAAAAATTTTCCGATCACAACCAACGAACCCAACGTACGTACGTACACCATAATCTACTATTTAGGTTTCAGACATAAACGTGTACTTCAAACTAATTCAATCATTAAATAATATGTTATCTATTACTGCCTGAAATTGATGATACTAATAATGTCAAGTGTTTAATGCTGATTTTTTTTTTTTTACAATGACAGTAAAAAAAAAACCAAGCAACAAATTACCTATTGAGGGAAAAACTTCAACATCAAAATATGTTTTGAATTTTACAACAAAAAAATATGAAAAAGAACAGAACTGTAAGCTTTACTTTAAGAAGAGTACCTTTGTCATGGAAAATTTAGGTGATATAAATAATTATTATGGTTTATAAAAGTATTGAAATTGACAAAATATAACTTTTGATAATATAGAAATAAGTAATACGTTTTCGGATGAAATTAAGAATCTTATTAAAAGAATAATAATGGGGTCGACACACACAAACTTAGGAAAACCATATCCTGGCTAAAGCCCACCGTCTTACTTTGCTTTGTTTTTTTCCCCGATTTTATTAATCAACTTGATGATCAATGGGCCCTAAATGACCTAGGGGCTTCTTTCTTCCGTACGGAATCGTCTAATATTTTACTAATATAATTCCTTGTTTTTCGAAAAACAACATTCATAAGAAGCTTAATACAATATGTAATTATTAATGTACTGATATTAACATTTATCTCTAAGGTTAATGGTAATAATTTATACTATTAGTTGCCCACGGCAAAAAACCAAACCTTTGTTTCGTTTATAATGAAACCCAATTATATGTGGAACTTCCTAACATGATACACCTTAACAGTGAAAAGAGTTTTGTCGGTAAGTTTAAAAAATGATGTCGGGACGATTTAGACGAGGATAAGGTTGTTCTTTGGCAAAAAGGAAAGGGTAAAAGGAGAGGATAAGTTCATTTAATTTGTTTTAACTTGATTTGATCAGGTACTTGATGTCGTAATCCTCACCTTAATCATTTTTCAATTCTTTAACTATATGCTTAAGCACAAACCGTGTTTTTTTCATCCCAAAAATTAGAAGAGTTTCGTTTATTTGTAATCTCATAAATTATGATATATGCTAATCCGTGGTAGTACAAAAAAGTCTTCTCTAACCAACATAGTTAAATAGATTCATGTTATAATTAATCCAAGCTATTATGACTAAAGATTTGCTTGCAAGTAAACGCTATTTAAATTGACTTAGTCGTACGTTAAAGTCAAGAAAAAAAATATTTTTCACCAAATACGTTCCATAATTTTCGTCAAAACCTCAACCTATAATAATATTTTCATAATTTTTCTAGATATTCTCAAAAAAAAAAGGAAAAAATAATGAAAATGGGCATTGTCAATGGGGCTATGGGAAAGGAAGATAAGGGAAGGTAGGATTGATGATGGATGAACTCAATAATGGACAAAAACAAAGAAAAATGCAATGTCGCGCCCAGGAATCCAAAAAAACCTCTCAACGTTATATACATTGATGAGATGAGATATATCAAGAACATTATTATTATTAATATTATTATTATTACTACATTATGTTAAGAAAATATACAAAGTTTGAACCTAGCCAATAAAGACAAAACAAGGATGGAAGGGACGAATCATGTCAAGCCAGGTAAGATTTTATGGGAATTTCTTGTTGGATGAGCTTCTTGTCTTCAAGTCTATCCATCCCTCCTCATTTAACATTTGCCCATTACTCCCCCCATCCTACTCGACCACCCTCATTTCCAAATTTTAGTTAGATTCTCTGTTTCAATTTTCATGTATCACTTGTGATTTTTTTCATAGTGAAACACTACCAATTTGGAAAGCATGATTCCAATTTCAATAAAATCACGTCGTTTTGCCAGCACAACATAATCGATTACTATAAAAAAAATATTATGTGATAATGTTTACATGAATCACGCAAAAGTGTTACGGAAATCAAAATTTCATGTCGAATTCTCTGTTACTTTAAAGTGAGAAGGAGGATTCCATTATTCTTATTTGTATTCAGTAATTTTAATACATGTGTTGGTCTTGGTGTACAAAATTTATTTGTAGTATCTTATCTGATGTCTGAAAATAGTAATATTATAGTATGGTTCTACTTGATCAAAATCTACTACATTATTCGTCATCTGCTTTAAATACGCCCATCCAATAAAAAAATTCCAGATAAATATGGTAGGAGCTTGCAAAAGAAAGAATACAAAGAAAGTAAGGGAAAGATAGAAAAGACCATGCTCAATAGTCAGTCAGGACAGTATAGTAGTAGTAGTAATTAGCAGGAAAAAAGAAAATAAAAAAAAAAAAAAAAAACCCCAAGGGGGGATGAACATTGCTATAAACCGGTCCACTCTCTCATGTGAACCCCCCCACACAAACACATACACAACTTGGCTCTTTTATCTCTTTCTACCCCACAACACATACATACATACTTCCCCTCCTAAAAACCACCCTTACTAAATCCAAATCCAAATCCCCAAATAGAGAAAAAAGAAAAAAGAAAAAATGCAAAAGAAAACACACACACACAGAACCCCAATCCATGAATCTTCCAAGATGCTTGCTTTTTTCTCTTTGGGGTTGACCCACAACAAAAAAAAAAAAAAAACCACATCACCATATCAACATTTTCCCTCTCTCTCCTACTGTTTAGTTAGTAGGATTACATGTTAATATTTTTATAGTACAACTATTTTCTTAATAAAGCTTTAGCCTATTTTTATATTTTGTACTGCACACACATTTCACACACAATCTTGGTGGGCTGCTATCTCCCTCTCCCCCCTATTCTATCTACCTCTATATATATATAATTCAACTTCAACCATTCCATCAAAACCAAAACCAAAACAAAAACACCAAATACTACTTCGTTTCAAACAACAACTTCCTTCTTTACATCTCATCATCATCATCCCCAAAAACTTTCCTCTGTTTCCAAGAAACAAAAATACAGAGCAATAAAAGAAAAATGGACAGCAGCACTGTAGATGAGAGTACTACTAGTGACTCAGCATCGACTCTTCCGGTGATCAAGTCGCCGGAGAGTCTTTGCCGCGTCGGCAGCGGCGCAAGCAGCGTGATTATCGATGCGGAGATCGGCGTGGAAGCCGAATCCCGGAAACTCCCGTCGTCGAGGTTCAAAGGCGTGGTTCCTCAGCCTAATGGCAGGTGGGGTGCTCAGATATACGAAAAGCACCAAAGGGTCTGGCTGGGGACGTTCAACGAGGAGGAGGAAGCCGCCAGGGCGTACGACATCGCCGCCCAGCGGTTCCGCGGCCGCGACGCCGTCACCAACTTCAAGCCGTTGACCGAAACAGAGGAGGACGAGGTGGAGTCAACGTTCCTGAACTGCCATTCCAAGGCGGAGATCGTGGACATGCTGAGGAAACACACGTACAACGATGAGCTGGAGCAGAGCCGGAGGAATTTCGGGTCAATGGAAGGGAATGGGTTGAGGATCAGGGGCGGGAAGGAAAACGGGCTTTTCTCATTCGGGTCGGATAGCAAATCAATTAAAGCCCGGGAACAGCTTTTCGAAAAAGCCGTCACCCCGAGTGACGTCGGCAAGCTGAACCGGCTCGTGATTCCCAAACAGCACGCCGAGAAGCATTTCCCGTTGCAGAATGGGAGTTCTTGCAAAGGGGTCCTTCTGAATTTCGAAGATATGGGTGGGAAAGTATGGAGATTTAGGTACTCGTACTGGAATAGTAGCCAGAGCTACGTTTTGACCAAAGGGTGGAGCCGGTTTGTGAAGGAAAAGAGTTTGAAGGCCGGAGACATTGTCAGTTTTCAGCGGTCAACGGCCGCCGGTGATAAACAGCTTTACATTGACTGGAAACCCAGGAACAACAACAACAACAACGCGGTGACGTCAACTCCGGCGATGATGACCGGAGGGGCCGCCGCGGCCATTCAGCCGGTGCAGATGGTGAGGCTGTTTGGGGTGAATATATTCAAAGTACCACTGCCGGTGGTGGGAGGCGGTGAAAATATCAATACTACAACTTGCAGTGGTAAAAGAGTTAGGGAAATGGAGTTCTTGGGATTAGAGTGTAGTAAGAAACCAAGGGCTATTGATGCTTTGTAACATTAAGATGTTAATTACAATTAGGGTTTTTTTTATTAATTTTTTCTTCTTTTTATTTTTTGGTTGATTTGATGTAAGTTGTTTTTTGTTGTTTAGGAAAAGGATGTGTTTGGGATGGGGGGGTTTGGTGTTGCAAGTTGCATAGTTGAAATTGTATATTGTTTTTTTTTTTTTTTTTAGAGTTTAAAAAAAAAAAGAGGCTGAAAGACAGCTGAATAGAGTGGAACAACAAATGCAAAAATAGTACAAATAGATAAATCGTTGTTTTCAAAGATTTCCATTTTACTTTTAACTCTTTTTGATTCATTCACACTTGCATGCAAACCACATAAACATCGTGTTATATATATATATATATATATATATATATATATATATAATCAAAGACAAACTAAGGTGCATGGCAGCAGAAATTGCCTAAACCTAAAGTCTAAAGACAAACTTTCATTTCATAGTAACATTATTATTATTATTATTATTATTATCTTGTTGCTAGAAGGCAAAGTACATCTCCCATGTGTACGTACGGTTTTTTCATGATTATGTTGACTGTACACCTGTAGGTAGATAAATAAAGTTTTGAGATTGAAAAAAAAAAAAAAAAAAGGAATCTTGCAGAAATTTATTCGGATGAATCTGTTTAAATGTTACGTACGTACTTCTGGATCGAGCGATGGATGCATCATGTATTTTCCTTCTTATCAATCAATGGCTCTAAAAGTTGGTGTGAAAAGATCCTCTAATTAGTTCTCCCAATTAAGGAAAACATATATAGATCCTTTAATAATCTTTATAATGCATTTTATTAGTGTTATATTACAAACTAGTACCATTAAAAAGTCCCGCTTTTTCTTTTTTCTTTTTTTTTTTTTATAAAAAAAGAGTAATTAAATAAACAATAAACAAAAAGTACTTGGAGGTTGGGATGATGAAGAAGATAAAGTTGAAGTGGGTAAAAATGAGACACGGTAGTACTCGTAATATTCAATGAAGGAGGGGAATATAATTTGATCATAATCAACTTGTTGACAAATTATAATTTTTTTTGGTCTGACCCCCACCATATCCATCCATAAAAGTTAAAATTAAAAAAAAAAAGAGAAGAAAAATAATGGGAATTTTGGCAAAGCTTTTTATAATAGAGAAGAAGAACGCGTTTTTGTCGTACAATCAAAAAACTGCTGGTTGCATTACTCTCTCAATAATTTTATCTTCTCCTCCCCCACAACATTTTATTTTTTTTCCTTTTCCAGATTTTATAGGAAACTGTCCTTATTTTGCCTTTTTCCAACCAGAATCATCATAAGATGCATGATATGTTTACTACATATATGTCTACCAACCGTCATGGTGTTATTAGGAAGAAATTGGTGCAAAACTATATTTGATTAAACGGTACTACACGTATAACACATCCAAAAAAAATATAGAAGGCTATGTAATACTCTCGGTCTATTCCAGAATAAGTGCCCATCTTACTGTAATGTTTTAGTTTAACAAATCATCTACTATTAATTGGATGAGAACTTTCAAATTAGATAGTCAAAAAAGAGTGATTCAATCGTCACCTTTGCTCGATTAAATTAGTTCATCAAATGATCATATCGGGTGTCAAAAATATAGAAACAAATAATCGTGTCGAGTTCTTTTTATTCGAAACAATTGACCGAAGTAAACGAATTAAAATGAAAACAAACTCCTTGGTATATTAGCTTTATAGAATCTTTTTTCGTAGATACGAGTACATTGTCGTTGTCACAGGTGCATCCCACAATCAGAAATTTGAAAATCGAAACTAATTAAAATACAAATGATTTAATTGATTGTATAATTGCAAGGAAGACCTCATTCGTACAGCTGATTATATATATATATATATATGTATACATGTCATTTGACTAATAGGAACAATACTCTGAAGTCTGAACCAACGAAACCATCTTTCATTATTAGCCATAGACGACTTCCTATTTGCAGACAACTATATCTCACCATTAATTTTAATTTTCTGATATATACACATAAAGTCAAACGAAGTGCACTTATTCAATTCACATATATCCTTACAACCAATATCAACGTCAAATCTCACCATAAAACTAACGGGATATAAAAGAAAACTAACAACAATTCAGGGTATTAATTAGTTTCACAAGTGTGTGACTGTGTGTTATGAAGATTCAGAACCAAGAATTTGAACCAAATTTGTCAAACCCATGAGATATACTACTTACAAGTTGGAGTAGTGTATATATATATATATATATATATATATATATATATATATATTAAGGTCAGTCAATATCTTTCGTTTAAATTTCACGCGGTTTCATCCCAATATCTACACATACACACACGCCAAATTGTGTGTGACAGATATGAGAGTCAGGAGTAAATCAAATCCAATCTTCTTGCATAGTTTACTCGGAAAAAATAAAATAAAAAAATTCCTGCTTCTCAAGAGCTCACTTTGATTGTCTTAATTTGCTAAAAGATACACTTTCTATCCTAAAGTGATTGGTTACTATGCTTAGAATGAATTGTACTAAGAATAAAACTTCAAAATAGATAATTATTATGCGACAGAGGGAATAATTTATTACATCTGTTAGAAAGTTGCTTTGTAACTAATTATGTCTAATTTTCATAGTTTATTTTGTTAAAATGGAATGAAATGAAGTACAACAAAAGGGGAAATTATTCAAACAAAAATTTATCAAAATAGTGTGGAAGAAGCATGGATTTTCTTATTCTAATGATTATTAGCATCTTTTCGAAATTAGCTCCTTCAATCATGCAGCTTAAGCATTTTTTTTTATCGCAATGTGTATCTCTCCTATTTTTCGAGATGATGCTGCCTATCTACCCATATGCAAAATGTTGTCTCGAAGAGGGAAAGAAAATTGATACAATATATACAATCCTTCCATCTACTTTTAGAAGTAAAGAAAAGTTTGTTAATGTTTTTGATATTGGCGCAAACGGTAATTAACAAATGAAAGGGGTTGTTAGAATATGAAGTTATCACGTTTTCTATTCACATGGCGTTTTAATTTTTAGTCATTTGGTTTCGCTTCTTTCATTGTACTTAAAATAATAATGAATGAATAAGAGTGATCTAGACCATACGACTCAAATTCACTAATACTATCAAAGAAAGTAAGTGAATCGATGTATCTATAATTCAGAGAGATAGATTTAGTCATAGGTGCACTTTGCAAATTTGAAAAGAAAATAAGTAAACCCACGATGAATAACAAGATAATCTGTTTGAAATATACAATTTATTTTTTTTCTTCTTTGAAGAAATATATCTTATATTCCAAAAAATAATAATTTACATTGATTTTGAGAATTATATTAAAATATTATAAATTTTAAAACTCAACATGAATTAATTATTTTCGGAGGAGCATACAATATCTCCTTAATGTACTGTATGTGGAATTGGTTAATGCACTACATTAATCGGGTGTTAATCTTCTCCAAAATCAAGAAGCAATTTCTACTTTTTTTCTTTAATCATCTCGTGGCTGCATTTAACCATTATAGTAAAACATATCATCGCATTTCATTTCACTGCATTTTTTTTTTTTATAAAAAAATAACTTCATAGGTTAAAAGTTAGAATCAAGCAGCACTGAATATTAATCAGTCAGGAGGACACGCCCAAAACGTATCCAACACTTTACAAGATTTAGCATGATCAGCTACATTTCACTCCATTTTAACCAATCTATTTCCATTTTCCATATTCGTTGATAAATTCAAATTCATGAAATAATTGATCCTATCAATTCAAAGCGGTCAATTTCGCATTAGTTGCAGATATATTTGTCCTTTACTCTCATGGGTGAGTGGAAGAACACAATAATGTGTACTTTGTGTGTCAATATATGGGACACGAGCTTATGATCATTATTCAATTATTGGTGGAAGCAAATTCATGAACCAAACTACATTAAAACTTGAGAAATAGACAAAGCTGCTGTCATTCCATACAGAAAGATTGATGTTAAATGATCATTGAGTTACACCCTAACCAACCTTATCATCATCATCATCTTCTTTTTCTCAATTATGTAAATGTATCCTCCTTGGTACGTACGGACTTTGATTTTGTTTTTGTTTCCACCTTAAGGTTTCTAAGCAGCTTGGATCATGTCGACGTACCTAGGGTTTTGATCAAATGGAAGAGTTTTGTATACAGTTTCCCCTGCCCGTATTGAAAAATTAGTGAAGTTATAATAAACACGAACATAATTTTTCAACGGAGGCGCATGTAGTTTAAAATGGGCAAACTCTACCAACCATCTTGAAGTTACGTGAATAAATTCTTTAGTCAAACTAACAAGATCAATAAATTGGGTGACGGAAGATGAACACAGTTTATTTGGAAGCCTACATAATTCATGATCACTCTGAAGATTTGAAATTATGTATACAAAAGTTAATCCCGTTAGAGATCATTGCAAGACAATAATTTATTCCTTTTCTTCTTATATTCTTTATATATCTACCGTTAACTATTAACTATACATAGAAGGGTAAGGCATAATAGCTGATCAAAAGAAATAGTGATTAAATTTCCTTACCAAGTAAAGTGTGATGGAAGTACTTGCCAAAAGAAACAATAATGACTTTTTTTTTTTTTTTTTTGGTTGTTGTTGAATTGTGAGTACTAAACCATTTGAATGCCAAGTAGTTTCCTTTTCTAGATTGAAGGCTTTAAACCTGATTGAAAAACATTCTTAAAGGAGCGAAAAAGAGATGATATAGCCTGATTTTTGTTAATAAATTCGACGGTTTTCCAATGTGAAATTGTGAAAAGATATCTTCCTAGAGAATAATTCAACCTAATTTTGGCTAATAATTATGAGTCTGCTGCCTGATTTCCCTGCCTAATTTTGCCTGATTTCAAATATAGCCACCACTTGCTAATCTAGTACTCCCTCTGCGACTCTGCCGAAAATTATTATCCAGTTTGCGTTTTTAGTTTTTGTAAAATTTGAACAAAAAATGAAATTCAAACAGGTCAATAATTTTAGAACGGATGGAATATCTTTCTGTCTACATTTTGAATTGTATTATTTTAGTTTTAGTCTTTTCTGAATTGTAAGCAGTTTTTTTTTTTCATATTTGCAGGGTGTCCAAAATAATAACATTAACTAGGAGGCCCAAAAAGTAGAAATACGAAGCTCCCTAAACAAAGGAAGGAAGGCCCAAAAAATAAAGAAGCAAAACAAAGAAAAGAAATCCAAAAGTACTGGGCAACTAGATATCAAAAGCCCAAACTTTAGATCAATCTGGCCCATTAATCTAAAAAATCTTCGTTATCCCTCCTCCCCGCTTCCCCGTTTCCGAAGCTCTCTGTTTCTTTGGGAAGAAATGGCTTTTGTCAGCTCATTTTCTCCTTCAGTGGGAACCTCAGCAAACACTTTCTATGGCGAACCCAACTTCGCAGCATCACTTTCTTCATCTACTGCTTTCCTGGGAAAACCACTTGCCTTCATCTCTCCTTCAGTATTTTCTGGTAATTCCACTTTTTGCCTGCTGCTTTGCACTTGCTTCTCTTACTGCTTCTATGAATTCTCTCTCTTTTACTCCGGTTTGAAGTTTCACAATAATGATATTGTATATTGTTTTCTTTCCTGATTTCTTTAACTTCCAATTTTGCTTTCGCAATTCTTGGCTCTGGGCTTACTTTACTTTTCCCTTTTTTTTGTCCATTTAGGTAAAAATTCAAATGCTGCAAAACGTCTGGTTGTCTATTCCAAAAAATTGTCTGGATTGGAGCAGGCAATGAGGATAAGAAGGTAACCCCGCTCTTCTGCTTCTTTAAGATAGTACTTTTCAGTTGTTCGTATCTTGCTACGTCATTTATCTGTCGGGTTGAAGGTTAAGGATTACGCGGTTCTTTAATGCTTAAACGAATCATATGTTTTGATTTGATCGGTTATTTTTGTCGGGCCATGTTAAAAGTCGTTGATACAATGATGCGTTCATGCTTCAATGTGCCTAAAAGAACTATGATAAATGTGCTTTGACTCTATATGCTGGTGAAAGTTGCATTGAGTTAAGATGAATATGCCGCTGTTTGCATTTTCTGATGCATGCTGGCGGAAAAGGTAGTTACAGTGAGAAGGACATAAGTGGTGGTTCAAGGAAGTGGACCAGATTAGATTTTGCTGATGATATTGGGGATGAACCACTTTGGTAACAGAATTGGACCTGTCATACTTAACATGACAAGAATGATCCACATTTCAACATGTAGGCTGCTCATAGCAATTTCTTGTTGCATTGTGGATTTTGTTATACTCTCTTCAGCCTATTGAAAGATGGAATTTCCTCTTGATGCTTATGAAAAATATACACGGGTTGCAAGATAGTCTTGAAAATTCATTACCCTAAGTTCTTAAAAACTTTTCATTGGATTATCTGTGATTAACAAAATTTGAAGAGCCTTGATAAACTTTTATTCTTTTTTGGTAACAGTTGGAATAGCAGCATGCTCAAGACATCTATAGTCTACTGTTTGGTGCCTTATTCTTCTTTGTTGATTTATTTGTTCTCTGAAATTTTGGTGTATTTACCCTGATTTTTTTTTTTAATAATGATATGCTGAAACCTATTACTGTTTTAGACAACGGGAACTCGGGCCTTTTGTCCCTGACAAGAAAAGGCCTCCTTTGAGGCGAGGAAAGGTGTCTCAACGGCTCCCGGTGCCTGATCACATACAAAAACCTCCTTATGTTGCGACAAACATATTGCCAGAAATTTCAAAGGAAATTCAAATTCATGATGCAGAGGGCATTTCTAAGATGAGAGCTGCTTGTGAACTTGCTGCTCGGGTGCTAGAATATGCAGGAACATTGGTTAGGGTGAGATATGATACTAACTCTACACTGCGAACATAAATAGTATCAAATTGTTTGCTATAAAACTCTGAAATAGTCTAATTTACCATTGCATTCCACTGTTTGTGGATTAATATATACTGAACTAAAACATAGGATAAATATGGTTATTCTCAAAGCCTGGATGCAGGGTAGAAACCGTAAGAGATTTTTGTAGCCATTCATCATAGGGAGTATCACTTTCCTTAGTCATTTTAGATCATTTCTTCTCTTTCCACTGGAACCTTAATATTTGACTTCTTATATAGAAAGTGTTGTATTAGGTTCTTCTCGATGCCTGATTTTGATCTCATTACATTACGAATAAAGTCTTGATGTAGTCTGTACAGAATATTATGTGGTCTGTCCATTTCTGGCTGCTGATCCTATATTTGATTTTTATGGCGTGCTATTTTCCTTTTATTTGAACCAGCCATCAGTGACAACAAATGAAATTGACAAGGCAGTGCACCAAATGATTATTGAAGCTGGTGCTTATCCTTCACCTTTAGGATATGGTGGTTTTCCAAAAAGTGTGTGCACATCAGTGAATGAATGCATGTGCCATGGGATACCTGATTCTCGTCAGTTACAGGTTCTGTATATCCAATAAACCTTCATCACCTCTGTCATATGCAAATTACTTACCCTCATTTCTCCTTTGCAGGATGGCGACATTATAAACATTGACGTAACAGTATATTTAAATGTAAGTATAGAGTTACTTAGCCTGCATCCAAGAATTTCGCGTAGGATTAGTTTTATTCTGGTTTCCTAGATATTATGGGGTAATTTTATTAATACTGAAACAGGTTTGTAATTTTGAGTCTTGGAAGCTCCATAATATTGATAGCTATGCAGTTAGATAATGATTTTTTTTATTTACATGGTCTGATTATGAAATTGTCCTGCTGATTCATGTTTATTAAATATTTGAGTTGCGTTTCTGGTTACAATGCTTATTAGAGACTAATATCACTGCTGGTTTTCTCTTTTCTTTAATAGTTGTCTTCCATAATATTGTTCCAGATTTCTGTGAATGTTGTTTCTGGTCTGTTTATCTTATCAATACAGTATCTTTTGTTTGGCTGCTATCAGGGTTATCATGGTGATACGTCAAAGACTTTCTTCTGTGGGAATGTGAGTGATAAAGTGAAACGCCTTGTGAAGGTAGACCTATTGATTATTGAAGCTTTACATTCTAAATTAAAATCCTAATCCCACAAGAAATTGATTGAGCTATACTACCTTTGGTTGATGAGTCTTTTGTTTCCCTTTCACTTCTTCCATCAAGAGCCTCTTTATAACAGAATTTTTCTCTTGTTGCAGGTGACTGAGGAATGTATGCATAAAGGAATTGCTGCTTGTAGAGATGGCGCTCTTTTAAGGAAAATCGGAAAGAAAATCAGGTCTGTGATATTTGAGTATAAAAGCAGCACATTTAAAAGCATAATGTTGTTTTTCATGGACTTGGGAATCATGTGGAAGAATAAGCATTGCTGTTCATCTAGTTATGACTTATGAGATATGACACAGTTCTCTTTTTTCTTTGGTTTTGATCTACAAAATGCCTCTAGTTCATATGTAGCTTGAAATTTTCGGCCTCAGGGCTAATTCAAGGATTTTAAGTTATTGGATGAGATTTGACATAAATGTCATTTCATTTCAGTGTTGGCTACGAATCCCACCTTATCTATGTTTATATTTTTCAAATAGATGATACCAATACTTGGATTTTCTGTAATCACTTGGTTTTTTGGCTACATTTATCCCAATCTGACGTACAAAACCCAAATGATCTTAAGAAAATCTGCAACAGTGCACTGTTGATTTGGGAGTTTTCTGTAGAATAATAGTTGAGAGGTGTCCTCAGAAAAGAAATAGTTGAGGGGTGTCTTAAAAAAGAAGAAATAGTTGAGAGTTGCTAAAGTTTTCAAATGTTTCACCATTTTTGCCTTCTCGTTCTTTGATTGTAGTTCTATGTTGAGTGAAAATCATTGATAATCATGCCAAACTTGCTGAGATGTTCCTTTCTTTGTTATAACCCATGTTTTTTTTTTGTCTATTTTAGCGAGCATGCTGATAAATTTGGTTATGGTGTGGTTGATCGTTTTGTGGGACATGGTGTTGGCACAGTATTTCATTCTGAGCCGCTTATATTTCACCACCGTGAGTGATCCTCCTTCTTTCCCTTTCTTTAAAATGTTAGTATCATATTTCCATGATTTCTTCACAAGCTTCATCCTTCAGTACCTCCAATGTCGACTTATGTTTGTAGTGTTAAAATACTGATTTTATTTCACGTCACCTGTTGTAAAAGCTAGCAACTTTATTTAATATCTATATGATAAATCCTGTTTATCTTGGCTGATCTTACATTAAATGATCTAATCATTTAACTCTGCATTTGGAAAAATGAGTAGTCTTTAGATGAAAATAAATGAGGAACAGAAAATGTTAGCTTTAAGAATGGAAAGGTATCTTGCTTTTGTCAAACGACCTGTCATTTGTTTAGGAGTAGTTTAACGTTTGGCCATTTCTAGGACTCCTCATGTAATAACAGAGTGTGTCAAATAAAGTCAAGCAACAAATTGCTTGAAATCCTAAGACTAACGAACAAACTTGTTGTTGCTCTTTGTTAAATCATTCTTATGACCTGACTCAACATAAGTTGCAAGGCCGAAATTTATGACGTCTTTCTGGTATCAGCTGTTGACATTTCCTGAAAACAATTTTTTTAGTTGTGTTTTATTTTGTCTCTTACTGCTTGAATGTGAGAAATAGCCATGGATGTTTACTGTGACTTGATTTTTGATGAGTTGCGGTCTATTGGTCCTGTTTGGCAGGCAATGATGGTACGGGTTTTATGGTCGAAGGACAAACTTTTACAATTGGTAAGTGTATTTCTCTTGAAATCTGATGCTTTTGCTGGTTCAATTTGGATATTGTATCTCTCTTTGTTGCCTGGAGTTTATTTGAGCTCAAGGGAAGTTGTAAGTTTCAAACAGCAATGTGTACAAGTTTCTATATTAGGTGGATTCTGGCAGATACAATTACTGCTCTGTAGTTGGTCCACATGTCCTATGTTGTATGTTCTCGAAATTTACCTTTCACGGGTCCTGTATTCTGTGAAGAAAATTACTTATATACTGTTGCATACTAATGTTAGCTTGAATTTACCCATGTGAATTCTTACCTGGTGTACTTTCTTGGCATTACACTGCAGAACCCATTCTCACATTGGGAAGCACCGATTGTATTACATGGGAAGATAACTGGACAACCCTGACAGCTGATGGCAGCATGGCTGCACAATTTGAACACACCATTTTGATCACAAAAACGGGTGCAGAAATTTTAACCAAAGTCTAGAAGAATCCTCATCTCTGCTATTTCGCATTAAACAGCGGGAACTTGGCGAAGGTATCAACTTGCAAGTCGTGGAGGGTGAAGTACACCAAGGGGAAAAGCATCAAGCAAAAGAAGTTAACCTTCCAGTAACTTGGGTGTAATCTGTACATCCCTTGCAGTATTCATCGGGAATCATCAGTTGGTCAAACAAAGTTACAGAATTAGACCATTATAACTAAAGATGCAGAAACATAACTTGTTATCTAGCAGTCATGTGAACGTTCTCTGCTGACGTATGAGAATCACTAGGCTTAGTGTTTAACAGTTTTACTAGCTGAATCAAACAATAATATGTGATTTAGGCACAGAAAAACTGTTCTTTTTTCTTCAGCTTTGTACAGCATTCTGTCTTCTTCCACCCCACATACATATATACATATATAATGGGGGACATAATTGCTGCATTTTTAAGTATCTTCTGCATATCTTATGCACTTAACCGGCAAACCGCTAGGTTGAAGGTTTATATTTGCTTACTTCGTTTTTCGATTAGTCTTCAGCTTTTGGTAAAGATTTAAGATCCAGAACCAGACAAAACTTGGTTAGCTAAGAATCTTCAATGATTGACATCTTTGAATTACTCTGCTCTTTCGTATTATGAATGTGCCGACGGCCAACTTATCTTTCTATGACTGACACTTCAAAGGAAACTTCATCAACACCATCTTTATGTTCCTCCAGTCTCACTTTTGACTCCTCAAAGGACGAGGTGCAACATTTCGGATGTGTTTCCACATGAAAAAGACAAATCAAAATCTACAATGTCGTGTGCCTAATTGATAAGAATAAGTTGATTACTTTATATTCAAGGTGGAGTATAAGAAGTTGGAAGTTGGAACCATCTGTTGAGTTTAATAGAAGAAAAATGGCAAGCTCAAGCTCTCTCAGACCAGTTTATTCTTCTCTTAAATTTCCCAACCTAAATCCACTTTCTAATGCTGAATCACATCATGTTAAGCTTGGATTTAATCCTTCAAGTCCACTTTCGATGGAGATAAGGATCTCAACGACCGGTCAACAGAATTCTACCAGAAGGAGCGCCAAAAATGTTCCAACCAAAGCATTCTTCTTCAACATGGGAAAGCCAAAGCCAGAGCCTGAAAAACCAGGTAAAAATTCAATCTTTGGAGCATATTTCATATGGGTTCTGCTCAAAATGAACATACAACAGTGCAGTTCAGTCGGATCATTAGCTTTCTCTAGATCTAAGACTAGTACAAATTTATTGAGTTTGACCAAAGTTTTCATCTTTTTGATCCAGGTAAAGTTCAAGAACTGTATGTATACGAGATCAATGAAAGGGACAGGGGCAGCCCAGCATACTTGAGGCTGAGCCAAAAGGAAGTGAATTCTCTTGGGGATTTGGTGCCATTCACCAACAAGCTATACTCTGGTGACCCACAGAAAAGGCTAGGCATCACATCAGGCTTATGTGTGCTGATTAAACATGAGCCTGAAAAGAAAGGTGATAGATATGAGGCCATCTACAGCTTCTATTTTGGAGATTATGGTCACATCTCAGTCCAGGGTCCATATTTGACCTATCAAGACACACATTTGGCTGTGACTGGTGGATCAGGAATATTCCATGGGGTGCATGGGGTGGTGAAGCTGCAGCAGATTGTGTTCCCATTCAAGCTGTTTTATACATTTTACCTGAAAGGAATCCAGGATTTGCCTGCTGAGTTGGTGTTTAAGCCTGTTGTCCCAATTCCTACTGTTGAGCCATCAGCTTCTGCAAAGGCTGCTGAGCCTCAGGCAACTATCCCTAACTTCACTAATTGAGAGCTTAACTTGTGGAACCAGCCAACATGAATAAAATACTTCTCCGTCCCAAAAGTGAAAATCCAACCCGAAATTATTTCAGAGAAAATAGTTTATTGTTCCCAACTATCATCAGAGTTGTTTTTTTTTTTTGGGTTTGAAATTTATTTTTATAATTGTAATCACTATCTTCAAGATTGAATAAGCCCTTTTCCAAATTTTGTAGCTCACTTGTGTATGATGTCTTTTAAATTACGTGGTTATAATCATAGCTATGTGCATTAGTCAACATTGGAAACTGGTACTATAATTAGCTGAATTTTAACTTAGCACATGTGTGGGACTGGGGACAGGGAAAATAGACAGAGGATCTAGCACATATTTTACATGCATCTTTCCTGGTGAAGCTTTTCTTTAAATGTTTAAAACGCCAAATGCAATTGAAGAAAGCCTGTTACTGGCTTACCATTTTGTTTTGTTGGGCTCTTTTTCTCATTTGACTATTCCTTTGTATTGGACTGATGTTAAATCAAATCAATTGAGCAAGGAAATTCTAGGACACGTTTGGGCTACAGAGAGGCCATCCATGCAAACTACGCAAAAATTTGGGATCCAGATAAAATACCAGGAAACCGAAAAGTTCTTGGGTAAGCCGAAAAAGGTTGTGAAGTGTGCCAAAGAAAACATAAAGTAGACATGAACATCAGTCATCAGAACGTGGAGATGTTATCTTGCTTTAATTTCTAAAATGAACTGTCCCTTATTATACTAATATTTTCTGTGTCACATTTAATAACTCATTTTATTGTATTATGTCAGTTCAACAAAGTAAATTATTTAAATCAGACGGATAGAATTTTAGTAGAGACATTAGAAGATTCATCCATTTGTTAATGAGTAGAGATTGAGTAGTTGTATTAAGTATTAACTCATGCGTATAGGGAAGGAAATTTTGTTGCAGATTTTCTTGCGTCCTATGCGGCGTCAACTCCATGGGGTTATCAATATCTCCAATACCCACTACCGGATTTTGGATATTGGCTTTCGCAAGATGTGAGAGGGTCGAATACCCCAAAAATGTTGTAATCTAGATATTTAAGCTGAAGCCTCTTCTATTGCACTAAAAAAAAGAAAGTTTATCCATTTTCATTGCCCCGACTTTTTCACATGAATCTTATTTTAGACCGGATGGTACATCTTATCTGGAATCCTGAATAAAACGACGATATATTTACAAACTTGCTGCTCTTTGTTAAGATATTCAAATGACATTGGCTCATAAATTTGTACTTAGCGAAGTTGATGGGCTAAAATTTTATAGTCTCTATGGTGTCTAACGAGTCAAAGTCATTGTAACTTTATTACACACAGGATCTCAAAATTGCTATATAGTAGTTTAGAATTTCATTCACAGTACAAATTGAAAAAGTGAAAATCTAACCTGAATAATAAATTTACTATGGAGGGAATACATTTTTTTTTTTTTTCTGTTTTCCCTTTTTAAGCCATTCATGTATCCAGAAGAAATAGCTCTATGCTATAAAAGATTTTCATTGAAGTTTAATAAAGACATTTCATACAAGTTTGAGTTCAGATTTCAAAGGAAATTGCAAGTTTTCGAGACCGATGTGTACTAAGGATGAAGTTTCTGTTTTGGGTAGAGTCTTACACATTTATATACTGCTCAGTAGTTGGTCCAAATGTTGCCAAGAAATTCAACACATTTGGATCTTTCCCAATGCAAAAAATGCTCAGGGCCATTTGTGTCCTTTCTTGTGTATTCTCAAAAATTACTCTCCACAGGTCCTGTAATCTCTGAACCAAATTTTCTTATCTGGTTTTGAATACTATAGATAGATTGAATTCATTTCACCCAAGTAAATGCGAAGCCTAGTGTAATTTCTTTGCATTTATTTTGCAGAATCAAATTCTCCATTCTGATCAACCAAAGTCTAGATGAATCATTCACGCATATCATTTGTTATTCTTTAGCATTTTGGTAAAGCTTTGATGATTCGGTACCGACGAAAATATGGGTTGCTTAAGAATCTTCAATGATTGTTACATCTGAGCTAGTCATGAAGCCAAACTCTTCAACAAATTTTGTATTGTGAACGTGGTTCTGGTGGATATTTTTCTTTTCTTCTTATACTGGATGGAAACGTCATTAATAGTTAGAACATATAATTTTAAGACTAAAATATCCAAATAGTCTTTTACATTTGGGCCTACTTGAATTTACATTTTTAACACTAACATATCAATATCTAGTTCCAAACATTATGTTTTAAAACTTTTTTTGTCCCATTTCACTGTTTTCAGCCATTGACATACCAAAAACAGGGGTATTTTGTCTTTTAATTTAATTCGAATTTTTATTAAAATTGAAATCATTAAAAAATTTTAAAATTCAGATTTCATTATTTAATTATTAAAATATTATTTATTAATTAAAAATATATTATAAAATTTTAAAATTTACATTATTTTCAAAATTAATTTTTTTATTTATCATTTATCTTAGGTTAAAGTAAATAGTAATTATGTTGCAGTTTTAATTTTGGGACACTATAACTTAAAAAATTTACCGAGTTACAGTAAATAATTCAAAATTTAATTTTTTTTTTAAAAAAAGCAAAACTATTTTTTTTATTCTGACCGCTAAAGTAAACCTAAATGGTAATTATGTTACAATTTTAACCTTAGACCCACTATAACTTAAAAAATTTACCGAGTTACAGTAAATAATTCAAAATTAATTTTTTTTTTAAAAAAGGAAAAAATAAAACCAAGATTTTTTTTTCCTTGACCGCTACAGTTGAATTATTACTGTAACACGGCAAATTGTTTAAGTTACATTGGGTCTAAGGTTACAAGTGCAACATAAGGGTTAAGGGTTTACTGTAGCAGTCAATTACTTTGTTTTGCTTTTTTTTTTTAAAAAAAAAAATTAAATTTTGAATTATTTACTCTTACTCGGTAAATTTTTTAAGTTATAGTGGGTCCAAAGTTAAAAAAGCAATATAGCGGTCAGAGTAAAAAAAAATCTTTTTTTTTTTGGAAAGAAAAAATTGAATTTTGAATTATTTACTGTGACTCGGTAAATTTTTTAAGTTATAGTGGGTCTAAAATTAAAAGTGCAACATAATTACCATTTAGGGTTTACTATAGCGGTCAGAGCAAAAAAAATTCTTGGTTTTGCTTTTCATTTTTTTTTAAAAAAATTAAATTTTGAATCATTTACTGTAACTTGGTAAATTTTTTAAGTTACAGTAAGCTTAAGGTTAAAAGTGTACTATAATTACTCCCTCCATCCCATAATTATTGTCCACTTTGGCCAAAAAATTTTGTCCCAAAATAATTGTCCAATTTGAATTTTTATGGATGAAGTTACACATTTGTCCTTAGTAAAAAACATTATCCATAAAATCTTTGTGGTTAAACAATTATTTATGTAGGGGTATATCCGGTTGTTTAAGGTAAAATATAGTTAAATTTGACTAAAAATAAAATCTTCATTTTAGTAAAATTGGACAATAATTATGGGACGGAGGGAGTATCATTTAAGGTTTACTGTAGTGGTCAAAGTAAAAGAATCTTGGTTTTATTTTTTCTGTTTCTTAAAAAAATTGAATTTTGAATTATTTACTGTAACTCGGTAAATTTTTTAAGTTACAGTGAGTCCAAGGTTAAAAGTGCAACATAATTACCATTTAGGTTTTACTGTAGTTGTCAAAGTAAAAAAAAACTTAGTTTTGCTTTTTCTTTTTTTTTAAAAAAATAATTGAATTTTAAATTATTTATTGTAACTTTGTAAATTTTGTAAGTTACAGTGGGCCCAAAGTTAAAAGTGCAATATAATTACTATTTACTGTGTACCTAAAGTAAATAGTAAATGAAAAAAGTAATTTTGAAAATAATGATAAATTTTAAAATTGTATAATAATATTTTTAATTAATAAATAATATTTTAACAATTAAATAATGAAATTTGAATTTTAAAATATTTTTAATGATCTAATTTTAATAAAAATTCAAATTAAATTAAAAGATAAAAATACCCTTGATTCCGGCTTGTCAACGGCCAGAAAACAGTGAAATGGGACAAAAAATGCGAAAACATAATATTTGGGATTACGATATTGAAATGTTAATGTTAGGGACGTAAATTTAAGTAGGTCCAAATGTGAGGGACCATTTGGACATTTTAGTCTAATTTTAATCGATAATTTTGCAACAATTTCGCGAGCCATGATGGTTGATAATTTAATCGATACACAAACAATGACATTCTTGATTCACGGTGTAGTATAAGATGAAAGAACCATTTGCAGAGTTAATTGTCTCATCAATCTAATAATAATTCACAACCATCATCACAGAAAATGGCCAGTTCAAGCTCTCTCAATCCAGTTTATTCTTCCCTTAAATTGCTTATTCTGAATCCACTTTCCAACAGTGAATCACATCATGGAAAGCTCGGATTTAAATCTACAAACCCGATTTCAACTATGAATTTGAAGATTTCAACCATCCCTGAAAAGGATTCAGGGAGTAGGAGCTCCGGAGATACCTCAATCAAAGCATTCTTCTTCAACTTGGGGAAACCAAAGCCAGAGCCTGAAAAACCAGGTAAAAGACAGAGTCTTTCTCTTTGGAACTTATTTATTAACATGGGCTATGCTCTAAATGAATCCATAATGATGTAGATTTTTGGAACCATTAGAATGAAATTTGTTCAAGTTTGAATTTTTTTAAGGACAAATACTCATTTTGGTCCTTAATGTTTAGGGGGTAGCCCAACCTAGTCACCAAAAATATTTTGTCTCTAATTTTAGTCCCCATAAAATTTTTCGTATCACTTTTGGTCTTTTTAACGGAAATTGGATGAAACTAACCGTTTTCCCTTACATGCATAATATTATATTATTTTTTTTCCTGACGGTGGGTTCCACTAATTTTGACCCAGAAAAAGAAACATGATAAAAACCAATTTTGGTCCCCGAAATTAAGGAAGTCCAACGATTTTAGTCAACCCAAATTTTTATTTTATCATTTTTAGTTCTCGTAAATTTAATTCTTCAACTGCATTTACTCAAAATATTTTAATTTTAATTTTAGATTTATATTTTAATTTTTGTATCTTTCAAAAGGTTTTTAGATTGGTTTGAAAATTCAATATTCCTCCATTTCTAAATCTTAAAATTCATATACAAAAATCAGTTTTACATTAAAGGGATAGAAAATAGTTAGAGAAAATTCACGAATAGATACACAAAAAATGAACATGACACTAAGAATTTAGAAGTAGGAAACAAGATATTCTATTAATTTAAAATTCAATAGACAAACTAATCAAGAAGATTTCATTCATTCATCTACCCTTTATACCCCTAAGTTGACCGCAGTTTTTTCGTGATGTGCTTGTCTTGTGGGATATAGATGTATTGACGGGATATAAGGTAATGGAGGAGAGTGATGGTTATAGAATTGGATGTAAAATGGGTCATGGCAAAAGAGTATGTCTAAATAAAAAAAAAAAAATTATCACTTGTTTTTCTAAAAATATTTTTTTAATAAGAATTATTTATAAGATTTTGATTTATGAATCACTATCCTCTGCAATGTAAACAGATTTTGATTTATGAATTTTAACATTTACAAATGGAGAAATGTTCAATTTTCAAATCAAATCTAAAAACCTTTTGAAAGATACAAAAATTAAAATCTAAATTTAAAATTTAAATTAAAATAAAACGAGTAAATATCGTTGAAGAATTAAATTTTCGAGAACTAAAAATGATGAAATAAAAATTTGGGGTGACTAAACTTCCTAAATTTTGGGGACCAAAATTGGTTTTAATCATGCTTCTTTTTCTGGGTCAAAATTAGTAGGACCTACTGTCAGGAAAAAAATAATATAAGATTTTGCATGTAACGAAAAACGGTTAATTTCCTCCAAATTTCGTTAAAAAGACCAAAAGTGGTACGGAAAAACTTTATGGGGACTAAAATTGGAGACAAAATATTTTTAGTGACTGGGTTGGGCTATCCCCTAAACATTAGGGACCAAACTGGCATTTGTCCTTTTCTTAACACCCCAAATTTTGATCTTTTTGTGATCCAGCTAAGGTTCAAGTTCTGTATGTATACGAGTTCAATGAAAGGGACAGAGGAAGCCCAGCATACTTAAGGCTAAGCCGAAAGGAAGTAAATTATCTTGGTGATTTGGTGTCATTCACCAACAAGATATACTCTGGTGATTTACAGAAAAGATTAGACATCACAGCTGGTTTAGGTGTGCTGATCAAACATGAGCCTGAAAAAGGAGGTGATAGATTTGAGGCCATTTACAGCTTATGTTTTGGAGATTATGGTCATATTTCAGTCCAGGGTCCATATTTGACTTATCAGAACACATCCTTGGCTGTGACTGGTGGATCTGGAATCTTTGAAGGGGTGCATGGTGAGGTTAAGGTGCACCTGAGTAGATCCCCTCAGTATTTCTTTTATACATTTTACTTGAAGGGAATCAAGGATTTACCAGCTGAGTTAGTGGTTAAGCCAGTTTTGCCATCACCTGCTTCTCAGCCATCAGTTGCTGCAAAGGCTGCTGAGCCTCAGTCAACAATCCCTAACTTCACTGACTGAGAGGTTAACTTGTGGAGATGAATAAAGTTTGTGTATTGTTCTGTTTTTGTTCATTAGTCTTTTATCCTTACAATCAAAGTTGTTTATGTTTGAATTACTTGTTATTGTAAGCACTCCCTCCATGATTGAATTTCGGTTGCGAAATTCGTGTGTCAGTTTTGTATCACTTATTTTAAATTGTGATTTTAATGATAATTTGAATAACGCGTATCATAAATGTCACAAAATTGGTGTTATAATTTGTTTTTTTTTTTTTTTAAATCTTAGCACATGTGTGGAACATAGACATAGAATCTATCAAATTGTTTCAATGAATCTTTCCTGGTGAAGGTTTTCTTCAAATGTTAGAAACGTCAAGTGTTATTGAAGAAAGGCAATTACTGGCTTGCCATTTTTATTTTTGATGGGCTTTTTCAACATTTGACTATTCCTTTGTATTGGACTGGTAAAGTTAAATCAAATCAAATGAGAAAAGAATGAAACTCATGAGAAAGGAAATTCTTTGACATGTTAGTCTACAGTATTAAATTTATCTTTTCACTCAAGAACCATGTCTTTTTGGTGGGTTTTTTTCTTGAAAAGCAGAATCATTTATGATAGTAGTATTTCTTTTGTGTTTGTCGAACTAAAATAATACAACGATCATCATTTTTATTTGGGACCGTGGATATGTGGAATTTCTAGTACTATTACTAGTTTCCAGGGCCTGAAAAAAGATTGTATTCAAAGATCATTGCTTTCATTTCCTCTAAGAAATGAAAGGTAGTAAAAAAAGTGAATTCCAGCACTCAAATGAACAAACCGCACCATATTAGTAACATTCTTATTTTCTGAACTTTTTCTGCACTGGTGCCTCAAGTTTGACAAGGGAAAAAAAAGGAAGGAAAGAAAGTAGAAAAGAGTACTAACGTAGCCAAAATTTATCCCCCATCATCCCATGTTTCAGTCCATGCGTAATTGATCACATATCATAGTTTTCTTCATACAAAAGTATTACAATAGTACACATCAGTTGCACATAGATTTAACTTCACTGCTTATCAGAAAAAAAGCAACAACAAGACCTTTCAAAATTATTGATTGAGATTGACTAAACAAGGAAACCCCTAAGTAATCAACTTCTTCATGACCATCAAACTTGTATTATATATGTGTGTGTATATATATATATATATATATTCAAGACAAAAGAACAATCTGCAAACTGTCATAATCTGCTATTAGGTCTCAGTAACTCTATAATCATCAAAGTATGGGCAACCCAAATCCTTAATCTAAGCAGAAAATCACTGTAAGAGTGATGAATGCAAATCATAACCCATGCATGCAAACTAATGCATAAACTTGGGATCCAATCATCCAAATAAAACACAACAGAAAGCTTAAAAAAAAGTAAGCCCAAAAGTTAGAAGGGTTGATGAGATCAATAAAATTTTTTTGAGAGCCATCGATCAGCCATGCATGAACACTATTATTAAAGATTGAAACAAGGCAAAAGCAGGGATCTGGCACACAAAATGAAGTACCTGGCTTGTTTCATCCTAAAGGGTGGAAAGTTATTACTTTGGGTGAAACCCCAAAAAGAGAAAAAAACTTTCAGTGGTCCATTGTTTACCCTTCTGACAAAAGCCTTCTTATCAAAGTGTTAGTAGTAGTGCAACTAGTCCAAAGCTCAGAAACCTCTCCCCAAAGAACCAACAGAGAGAGCAAAAAAAACTCGGTCTTAGTCTTTGTCTGAACCCCTCTCTCTAGGCAAATGTTAAAAACATTGAATTTGGAATTTATAAAACAAAAGAGGCTTTAATCAAGAGGGGAAAAAAGAGAACTGCCACTTCGAAACATTAATGCATAGAACCGTGGCTTTCATTATACTGTTTGTCCTCATCTTTTTCTTCTCTTCCTTTGTTACTCTCTCAATGTGATAATAGATCATCTAGCAGACACATACATAAACAAACAGCCAAACAGTCCCTAATCAAACTCAGTAGACTGCTACTACAACTACAGCTAAAGGTTCACATGTAATAAATGTACATACCAGAAAATCATATCAACTTCATCTCCAAAACATTAATTTCCCTCTACCTCTGGAATTCTAGCTAGTACTTTTATGGTCTCATTTTCATGTTGTTTTTTTTGCCTTCATGCACCATGCAAACTGGTAGTTAGTACTTTTAATTAACTGATTGTCTTCCATTCTTTTTTAGTCCTCTTCTTCATCTTCATCTTCATCATCTTCTTCAAGTACAAGTTGATGATTCCCATACAGGTTCTCACTATGCGCTGCATGGCCATCTCCAAATGCTTTGACATGATCTTTGAGTGATCTTTTGTGCTTGAAATCAGAACCACAAATGCAAAACCACATTTTGCCACAGTTTTTCTCATGAGTCCTCCAATCACCTCTCACCGCAAATGGCTTCCCACATTTCCTGCATTGGAACGGCTTCGTCCCGTGTTTTCGCTTGTAATGTGTTTGAAGGGTCCTGAAATCCTTCAAGGGTCTTGATCTGGGATGGTCTTTGTTGTTTCTGCAACCTTCAGCGCAACAGTAACAGGGTAGCTTAAGCATTGATGAAGCTGGTTTTGTCCCTTTTAAAGAGTCCGGACCTTTTCTGTATTGTGATCCATGCCCCCACATATGCATCTGCAAATGAATACATGATAAAAGAAAAATAAAGTTGAAAACTTGAATACAAAGATCACATTTTGACACAAGCCTTTCACTAATCATAAAATTTTGATAATCAGAGAAAACCTAGATAAATATTACAATGAAGTATCAAAGCTGAAAATATTCAACAATGAGTTTTGTTCATCACAGAACAGAAAGTGAAACAAGGGAACAATTATAAGTAGTACTGTAATGAATTTATTGGGTCACATGATGATTATTGAGTCAAAGGGAACAATTATTTTACCTGCATGTTGTTGTATCTGTTGAATGTTTTACTGCAGACAGGGCAAGAGAATTGAGTGGGACCAACCAGAATTTGAGCAGGAGTTGGAATCCAATATTGTCCTTCACCAAGACCTCCAAACTTATTATTACTGCTATCATCATGATGATGAGAAATGATATCTGCTGATGAAGAAGAAGTTGGCAGCCCAATATGAAGTGCAACTGTCACACCATTATTATTATTATTATTAATATTAATATCAGCAATATTAGCCCTCCTCCTACAATATTCTTCTTGCTGGTAGATGATGTTCTGAGAATTCCTGGAGTAGGAAGAAGAAGAAAACTCAAAAGTGCAATCAAGAAGTTTGTTTGAGAAATTGTTCTGGCCCGGAGGAGCAAGAGAAAGCAGAGTACTGGTAGAATCTTCATATTCATCGTGATCATGGCCCTCAGAACAAGAAATTCTTGAAAAGAAATGAGTCTGCATGGATTTTGAGAAGGTTTGGAATGTGGGATTTGTGTATTTTTTTTATTTTTTGTTTTTGTATCAATGACTCTGTCACTATATATTTGCATATATAGAACCAAGATTTAAAGGAGATTCAAGGAAGATGAGACTGATGTAGAAGTAGGCTAATGTTGTGTCTGTGTCTTTGTTTACCACATCCACACGTGGAATGGAAAGGAAAGATATGAAAATTTGGCATGTTTAGGAGATGGAGGAGACAAGGGGAAGATAAGTAAATAAAAAAAAGAATGGGAGATATATGGGGTGAAAATTTTTACATAGAATGGTGTACCAAAGAAACACCAGTTTTTAAACAATGCTCAGTTTCCCAAACTCAGAACTTTTAGCCCTTGTCATTTCAAATCTCTTCCTATACCTCCCCTTTCATTCTCTTTCTCCCTCTTTCACCATTTTATGCAAATTTATCTGTTCCATTTCCATACTAGTACATCTATCTATCTATCTATATAACTTAATAATAGAAAATTCAGAAAGAGAAAACTGAAGTAGTTTTCCACTTGCCACATAGGATTAGCGATTTTCTCCAATTTTTGATTTATGTAAAAGGACAAAAAAAAAACTACACCAATTAAAATATATAACTTATCTTTGTTTAAACATATATAATTATCCATTTGTTTTTTTAAAAAACATTGTTAACAAACTTTGTTAGGATAATAGTGACTTGTTATGTTTTAGTTTAATATTTATTTTATTTTATTATTTTTAAATGTACAGGTTAACCGGATAAGGTAGTTTGCTAATACGTTTTCCTGGCACTAGCTGTATAAATTAAATTCTTAAAAGTTTAATTATTACTAGGAGTCAATTGTATGGAGTTTTAATTTTTAATATTTGCTATAAATACATATCCATCGTTGATTCAAACTACAATCCACATCATCCAAAAAAGTCCCTATTAGCTATAAGTCGTCGTTGAAGATCTCATCTTGAATGTTTGAATATTGGTGCCGATGGTGGAAGTGCTATACCCGTTGCCGCTAGAGCCGCTAGCGGAAAAACTATGAATTCAAGTGCACATCTAAGAACTACACTTTAACAAGTTTGTGTTTTGGGATATTAAATGATTCATATATAGAACCTGGTCTTGCCAATGTTCTCAGGGATCATGTTACTACAACATCGTTATATGAAAGTCAATACAACATCGTTATATGAAGGTCAATGATCAGGGTCGTGTAATAATGATTCTTGAACATGCCGCACCGAAAGAATTCAGTGGTGAGTTTTATAGATATTTAAAGTTTAATTTATTGTATTATCATTTTTTTTTTACATATGGCAGTTTTGTTGAATTGTTTTATATTTGCCGGTATTTGTAGTTTCATAATTTCATGTTGCTCACATTATTTGGAAGAATGCACCTCCTCAGATGTTGTATAAGATAAATGGTCTTTTACTATTGTAGTAGTAAATAGTTTTTTTTTTTTTAAAGATGGCTGACTACTGTAGTGGGTAGTATTTTCATCTAAGTTGTGGTATTGCTATTATTCCTAATAAAAAAAGGATGAATTTTGTAACTGAAACTATATTTTTGAACCCTGTTAGCTACTTTTATATTTACTTATTTGGAGTAAGTGTTTTATTTTAGGTAGAAAAAATAAATGTGTATTTATAGTTCTAAATAATCATTTTGCCCACGTAAACTCCAAGAATGCAACTGCGCAAATATTATTTTTTGGGAATTGTTTAAGAATAATGACTTTTTTTAGACTAAGCAGTGGTGTATGGATTTATAAGTTAATTATTATTTGAGATAATATTATAATTATGTATTGATATATGATGGCATTATTTTTCTCCCAAACTGGCAGATGGTATGTCCAGAATTCCAAATTCAATGCAAGACTGTTTATTAACAGTGACATTGAACCCATCAATGATTACAGCAGAAAATAAATTTTATGCCGACTCAATGTGGTATCTTATTACTTCAGGATCAAGGAAAGATGCAAGGAACTTCTCGACGATACGATTATGGAAGAAGCTCTTCACCTTGATGGAGTGTGAGATGTAGGTGCTAGCCTCACTTCATAGCCCATCTGGTCTGCTGAAGAGAATAGACATGGTGGTGACCTTCTCACCAAGTACCTTTATTTTTCCTGGAAGAGTGGACATGAAACAAATTGTTAAAATTTTATTTTTGTTCAAAACTTTAATGTTGACATTAAGAGAATATGATTTTGTTGGATCTTTTAATAGAAAGTTCAGCTTGGATTGAATACCGTATTTTCTTCATATTGGGGATGATGATGAATTAAGATTAAAGTTTATTAAAGTAGAGAACTTTGCATTCAGGTTGAGAAAAAGAGAATAAAACTAATGTAGTTGCAAGTCTATGAAATTTATGGTGTCTTCCAATGATGATGATATCTTTTAAAGCGTTGGCGATACTATCTTTTAAAGCGTTCTGGATTAGAGATAGCTTTGTGATGTGTTAATTGATTCATTTTCATTAGTTTTTTAACATAACATTTGTTAGCATACCTTTCTACTGATTAAAACTTTTAGACTTTTGACAAATTGGCGTATCGGTCTCTCACAAAGAGAATAAGGAAGTTTTGAAATTTGTGTTTTGCGTGAATACCTTTAAAGATTTGAATATGGGAAAATAAAAATAATATGCTAACATAAAAGTGATTGGACATGTAGTGAATTTAACAATATTATTTTTTCATCTTCATTGTTTTTGCATTAAAGCTGTTGTAATTTGTTTATTTTTAAAGCCTTGTGCTTCTGCCCCGTGCAAAGCACGGGCAACACCTAGTTAATAATTAAAAAAAAAAACAAGAAAATGAGATGGAAAATAGGGAACAAAAGGATAACTGTAGAACTGAATCCACTTTGGCTAATAAAGATGGTAAGTGAGAGATGGTTTTACAACACATATTTGGAAGATGTTACGCTGCAGAGAAAATAAATTAAACCGGGAAGTTCCCCCCCCCCCCGCCCCAAAAAAAAAGAACACTATGCATTAATCTAAATATGATCATGATGATGGTCCTTCTACATATGTGGTCATATGCTTTGATTTGATGTATTATGTAAAAGGTGAGAACTCGTATTAACTGTTTACTATATCATCATAGCCATTTGAATACAGACAAATATGTCTCTACATATACCAACTTAGGAATTGAACCTTACAAAATCATAAATAATGCTCAAAGGAATTCCAAGGGAATATCAAATATGTATGTATGCATAATTGTTTGCAAGTTGCAGATTAATTACTGAAGATGCAAGTTATATTTAACTACGTGCATAAAGAATTGTTTCAAAAAAAAAAAAAAAAAAAAGAAAAGAAAAACGTATATAAAGAAAACTAGGGTAAGGTTTTCAATTCTCGGAGACCATTCTTTTTTGGTACAAAAAATGAGCCATATAGGCCTACAGTCAATTTTAGGAATCCTATATTCCTATTTCTATCTACAACTTGTGTTATAAACTATCACATGATCTTTTTAAAAGAAAATATATACGAAACTATAACATGACTATAATTAGTTAAAGGTGTGGAAGTAACAGCAATGTGTTATTATTTCAAAAGAATATATATTTAGCAATGTGCTAGTGTGCTATAATCATCATTACTTCTCTTGTCATCTAAAAAAATATCCTATATTATTCTCAAAAAAAAGAGAAAAGAATTTTAAAAGAAGACAATAATATATAGCTACATTTATCACTCTTTTCTTACCCAAATTTGGATTTCTTTCTTTAAATATATAGCATGTCATAAGTATAGTCGTTTCACACGTTATTTTTTGGAGCAAAGTGCCCTTATTTGTGTTTTGTATTTTGCCAAGAAAAAGAATATGTGTCCTTTACTAAAAAAAAGTGGGATTTCTTTATTTTATTGTGGCTTTTTTTTCCCTTAAAAGTTTTTCTCTCTACATGTGACATGCACGTGGCTTGAAGCCATCGTTAATTAGGGGCGATACTTCATTGTTATCACTACCATAAATTCATATATCCAAAAAAAAAAAAACTACATTTAAAAGATTTTATATTGTTAATTCAGATACAAATATTTTTTGCCAAATGAAAAGTAAAAATGAGTACTTTTGTTTTTTTTTTTGGTCCGTAGAAAACAAATGAGTTACTTTTAGGGTGTCAGCTACACCACTTTCCCACTCATAGGCTGATGGCCCAGCCCAAGACCTCAGACTGCGTTTAAAAGAATCTTTGGTAAGTAGTCTAGTTCCAATCCAATTTTTGGGTCCAAAAATCTGTTTTCCACGGACCAGATCTGCTTTCATCTCCCAAGATTTCTTGTTTTCAGGATCCAAAATTCTGTTTAATGCTCCTGATTATGCTGGTGGCTCAACAATTTGATAGATTATATGTTTGTGTTTCTATTTTAGATTTTAACTTCTGCTTCTCTTTTTTTTTTTTTGGAGGAAATACTGGGTAATTTGAAATTCGTCAGTGAAAGAGAAAGAAATGGAAATGACGAAGTATGGATCTGCATCGTCTCCAGTTAATTGAACCGGCGGCTGTGGCGGTATCAAAACCCTAAAACTTGCAAAAGGGGGTCTCGGGGTCTCCCGAAAGTAACACTTCGATGCTTAAGTCAGTAAGAGTAATTGTAATAGGAGTATGAATTGTGGTGCGTAGAGCGTCCCTTTGATGTGAGGGGTTGATCCCTATTTATAGAGTTAGGGTTACCTGTTTGTGAAACCCTTTTCTTAGTAAGAAAATAATTAACAACCGCCCTAAAAACTTTCAGGGATCGGTTGAACCGCTTGCTGAACTTGGCCAGCCTAGTTGCGCACCGTATCAATTTGGACTCGTCAGGAAATGGGAAGCTTTTTTGTAGTTCATTTTTCTTAATAAAATGTTTTAAAATCTAAGTTTGAAAGGGGTAATTTATGATTTACTGCATGGATATTTTTTAATTTAAAATTGTCATAAAATAATTTACTGCCCTAACACAAATCATGAAAAAATTACAC